AATAAATAAATAAAATCTTTAAAAAAAAAATACTATACCATTATTTTTAAATATGCTTTACAAAGTCTTAAATCTCAATTTCTGTATTCTAGAATTTTTAAAAAATTGCATGAATTTAGTATTTAATATCAAGAATGAACAATTTTCTGTTTTGAAATGATATGTTACTTCAAGATGATGAAACATTATGTAGCTATTAAAATTGTTGATATCTATGTTTTTAAAAGAGTAAATTGTAAGTATGTTACTTTTTTGTCTACATTTTCTTGTTATTTAAAAAAAAAAATCCCTGTTTATCTATCAGGAATTTACTGAGCTTGAAAAGCCTTTAAGAATTTAAAACTAAAAGTAATACAGAAGAGAACTGCCCTCCGTCCACGCACCAGCCAGCTCCGTTATGGCAACGCGAAGCCCCAGCATTGTGATTAGTGATGATGAACCAGGTTATGACCTAGATTTATTTTGTATACCTAATCATTATGCTCAGGATTTGGAAAAGGTGTTTATTCCTCATGGATTAATTATGGACAGGACGGAACGGCTTGCACGAGATGTGATGAAGGAGATGGGAAGCCATCACATCGTAGCCCTCTGTGTGCTCAAGGGGGGCTATAAATTCTTTGCTGATCTGCTGGATTACATTAAAGCACTGAACAGAAATAGTGATAGATCTATTCCTATGACTGTAGACTTCATTAGACTGAAAAGCTGTAATGACCAGTCCACAAGGGACATAAAAGTAATTGGTGGAGATGATCTCTCAACTTTAACTGGAAAGAATGTCTTGATTGTTGAAGATATAATTGAAACAGGCAAAACAATGCAAACCTTGCTTTCCTTGGTCCAGCAGTATAATCCAAAGATGGTCAAGGTTGCAAGTTTGTTGGTGAAAAGGACTCCTCAAAATATTGGATACAGACCAGATTTTGTTGGATTTGAAATTCCAGACAAGTTTGTTGTAGGATATGCCCTTGACTATAATGAATATTTCAGGGATTTGAATCATGTTTGTGTCATTAGTGAAACTGGAAAAGCAAAATACAAAGCCCAAGATGAGAGTTCAAGTTGAATTTGGAAACATCTAGAGTCCCATTGAAATCACTAGTAAAATGATCAAATGTTCTAGTTCTGTGGCCAGCTGCTTAGAGGGGCTTCTTGCCTGTATCTTCTAAGAATTTTATTTGTTTGGTATGTTTGTTAGAAATGTCATTCGCTGCATTCCTAAAATCTTTATTTGCACTATGAGCCTATAGACTATCAGTTCCCTTTGGGTGGATTGTTGTTTGACTTGTGAATGAAGAATCTCTTAAACCACACCACTGTTGAATGAAAATATTGAAACTGTATTTGTAGGAAACATTTAAAGAGAAGATATATTAATTTTTAATTGGCATTTTAATTTTTACATATTCAGGAAAAAATAAATGATTGAATATTGTTAATTATGCCACTGTGTTTAGAAAAGTAAGAAGCAGTCAGTTTTTGTATCGATGACAGCGTTTAAGAGGTATTGTTTTGTTGGATAAACCATGTGTCCTTGAATTATTTTAGTGTTTCAGTATTAACTATTTTTCTGCTTGTTCAGATTATTTCTGGTGAATCTTTGTCAACAGTTTAAATACAAATCAATAAATTCCAAAATACTTAAAAAAAATAAAAGTAATACAAGAGAACAAAAAAGGTCAGTGAAATATGTTTAAGATACAACTACACTGGGGTGCCTGGGTGGCTCAGTTGGTTAAGGGTCTGCCTTCAGCTCAGGTCATGATCTCAGGGTCCTGGGATTGAGCCCCATGTCGGGCTCTTCACTTAGCGGCGAGTCTGCTTCTCCCTCTGTGACCTCCCTTGCTTTCACTTTCTCAAGTGAATGAATAAAATCTTGGAAAAAAGGTATAATTACATTAAAGTTATTTCATATGTTATAATCATAGGTTAAAACAAATACAGGTAAAAAAATAAAATAAGACAAATACAGGTAATGTACCAAAATTTGATTTTGCGTTAACATGACAGCTCCCATCAGTCTGGACATCCCTGATACTGATAGAAAGATAAGGGGAGGTTTTTTTTGTTTGTTTGTTTTGCTTTGTTTTGTTTTAGGTAGGCTCCACACCTAGTGTGAAGCCCGACACAAGGCTTGGACTCATGACCCTGAGATCAAGATCTAAGCTGAGATCAAGAGTCGAACACTTAACCAACTGAGCCACCAAGACACCCTAGAAGGATAAGGTTTATAGTAGATTTCACTGTGCAGAAGTGCAAGTTGCATAATTTATGACTGTTCTATAGGCGTCTTTTTCCTCATTTTCAGTATTCTCAAGTTTTGGGCTTTTATCTGTTGCCCTCAACTGAGCCAATAATTAAAAATTCTTTGGCAAATGTTGCAAAACCATATTGACTGAATTGCTTGGGCCTTGGAAGAATCCCCAGGCAAGTGAGGGGCCCTAAATCATAAGCTCCATCAGCTTCATAGTAAATCCATCTCTGAGTACTGCTACTATTTCTGAGCCTGCCAGTGGGAGCCAGTGTAAGACAACCTAGGGCCCAGAACATGGAGTAAGGTTATGACTGTAGTCTTGTCCTTTGCTTGCAACTGGCTGTTCCAAAGGGCAAAAGCATTTTATAAAGAAATACTATCTGCCACCTGTGTAGAACAGCTTCCATCTATGTGTTTCTAAATTTTTTTGTTGTTTACAGATTGCCAGAGCTTTAAAAA